GGTAATGTCCTGAAAAGTCACCTTCTCCTTGTAATACCTATGTCATACCTTTGTCATTATACAGATGTATGTCCTCATTTGTCACAAACACGCGCGCACACACACACACTGTTGATGAAGTGTGTGAACCTGAGAAAAGCATGATTTAGCTCTCTTTCAATAATCTCCAATTTTACAAAAATCTAAATTCAGAAAACAAAAGATGGCAGTGCATCATTTCTTATCTTAATTGCACAAAACACCAAATTTAAGGTCTTGGGACTATGACATTCTTCATATAAGCATTAATATTAAATAATGTTCTGGGCATTGATTTTGTCAGACTCTGTGTAGATATTATCTTCCTTTTTTTAAATTTAACACTAATTGGAGCTGAGGTTTTTTTTTCATAAAACAAGACAAGGTGAGTTTAAGTGAAAAATTAGGTAATGTAACACCACTGCTGCTCCTGTGTGTACACAGACATGTCCATTGCCATATTCTTGTTGGTGAGATGTCATGTGATATTTCAAGTCTCATTTGTTTGTCTGAAGTGTTGGAGTGACAATTATAGTAAATTGCAGAAATCTGAAGCCTAAAAATGTCCCAGGTCACCCTGATTCACCCTATTGATTCCCATTGACCTGTCAGAAAGCTGAACCTCTTGAATAAGAAACAAGAAACTTTAATGTGTTTGCTCAAAGGCCTGTACATCTTTCTTTCTTTTTTTGTTAGAAGAACAATTTAAACAGCATCATTTAAACTGCTTTTTTCCACCCAACATAAAAATTGTGCAGACTCACTTACTGTAAGTGTGTAAGGGTGTTTTCAGTGAAGATACTGTGTCCTCACCCACAACTGTGAAATTCTATCTCCTAATGTTACATTTCACATCCATACTACATTTAGACTCAGTTTACTAAGGCCATATTCGGGTGTGTTTGAGAATTAGTTTAGATTGTCGAGAACTGAGTTTAGAACAAGCTCTTCTTGTCTTAACCTTTGTACTTCTGGGAATTGGTGTTCATTTCATGTGAATGTTTTTACTGATAGGCTGAACACTGGAAAACATACAGTAAGTACTGCTTACTTTACTGGACGCATTTTCATTAATTGAAATTAAATATAAAATATGAAATACTTAAAATGTAAACAAAATAATAATAATAAAAAATAATAATAATTCAACTTTAAAATGAAAATCTAAAAGTAAAGGCTAATTCCGAATATTAATAAATACTTATATATTTTTAATAGTATATAAATAACACTGTGTTCATGGTAAGAGAGAGAAAAACGAATTAAAAATATATTTAATATGTCTATCTAGGTTAGTATTTTACCTGCTGCATACCAAGCCTTATACTGTAGATCTTATATGTAAGAGTGGGAGTGACATTCTCATTCGAGAGCGTTTGATTGGACAAAAATCTGTGTAGTGCAAGATGAGTCAACAATTACTTCCACAAATTTTCCCAGACTGTGAATTTTAGAGGTAAGTTACCATCTAAACATTTAGAAGTACCCTAGCATAGTTCAAATCAGATGCTGGAGCTCAACTTCCCTTAAACACTCTTACTGGCATGATTATCTCGCATCTAATTAAGACTTCGGGGATCCAAGAGAGTCAGTCCTCTGTTGCTGGGCAGCTCTTCGTGATCTGGAGGGCTTAAACTAATTATGTTTCCGTCTCTCGGGATTCTTCTTAACAAATCATAGCTCAGAATGAGTCATGTAGTCACCACAGCCAAGTGAGAACATGCTCAGCTCCTTTTCTTATAGGAATCCGAACTCATTTACAGCAATTAGCTCTTCTACTACTAAGAAAAAGGAGGGAAATCATTACAGATAATAGATCATGTGTTTCTACACAATGGGATTTATTAAGAGGGCTAGCCTTTTGTTCTTTTTGCCCAATCACTGAAACGCAATATATAAAGAGATAATTTTACATAATTATAAAGCTACTGTCAAACCTTTTCAATGAAGAGTATTTGTGAAGTTGATTTAGGTGTTGTTTCCTTTCATGCATTGACACTGTCTGGACTTCATTTAATCACAGAGTAAGCAGATAAACCACTGTTAAGGTGACATATCAGATGCATATCAGTGTGAATCATCCCGACACTGATGTCCTTAACAGAACCGGTTTCACAGTGTCACGTTTGTAAGGTCAGCACATTGCAGGCTTCACGTTTGGCATTGTCTCCAGCTTGCATTGTTTGTAATGCAAACCAGTTGAAACAATAGGAAACAATATTCAATCACATTCATGCTGCTTGTGACAGAGAATGCATTTTATTACATGTGTTGTTTTAATTATGATATTATAATAAAAAATTTTGACTTTTTATTAATAGTATCTATTTATTTTTTATTATTTATTTTAATCACAAACACTTTTTGACTAAATGAGCTGTTCATTAACTGAACTGAGCAGAGATCTCAGCGTGCATCTGGAAAGTGGTTAAAAAAGCCACTTTTAGAGCCTATTAACTGAAATCACAGTAATTAAATACGAGGAATGAAGTATCACAGCAATTACATCCCCAGAGGCACCTCACTGTTTTTAATCTTTGTGTAATTTCTAAAAGGAGAAGAGCTCTAAATTGTACAAGGCAAAAAAGCCACAACATCCATCTAAACAAAGAAATTGCATCTGAAATAAGGTCTATACTGATTAATTTAAAGGGGTCATATGATGCAAGTTTTCCTTTCTCTTTGGAGTGTTACAAGCTGATTGTGCATAGATAAGATCCCTAAAGTTGCAAAGACTTAAGTGTTAAACCCAAAGAGATATTCTTTATAAAACTTAAGACTGGTCCACACCCTCCTAAAACCCCCGTTTAAACACGCCCCCACATATCTACGTCACGATGTGGGAAGATTTGCATAACGCCACCCAAACGTTCACGCAAAGAAAGAAGGTGTAACTTTTATTCTTGCTGTAGTATTGTTGCTGCCGCCGCCGCCATGTCGTGGAGATGCTGTGTGTTTCGTTGTGAAAGCGAAACTACTTTGTTTGGTCTTCCAAAAGAGGACACAACTAGAACTGTTCCTGAACAGTTCAACCCAAATATTCAGATGTGTGCACTGCAGCGCATTTTACGGAGGACTATTTCCTGAACCTGGGAGAGTACGTTAACTAATGCCGGTTGTGCACAAAGGCTGTTTCTATAAAGTGGGGCAATTCCAAATTTGCAAGGACAGTCTGGCGCTTCTGACTCACAGACTGTCAGTACGTTTTCATATTTAAAGAATTTGCCACTGATGATTCAAACGCGAGTTTTGAGCAGTGTAGAGTAGCGCTTGTTGTTTGTCGTTTCTCTGATCACAAATGCAGACATGGTTTTATGTTTACGCGGCGCGATACGCAACACAACGCGTAAAAAGACAGTATAAGTCATTATAATCCGTAATAATGTCCCCACTGGATGCAACAAATGCCTCATTTATAATGGGTTTTATTGGTTTTGTCTCGTCGCTCTGGGACACGGCATTACATGGTAAGGGGCAGAACATTCCCGTCACACGCTTGAGGTATTCGTACACGCTTGTGCGGCCCATCACAACGCACTGGATAGCTGGCCAATCAGCTTACACCTCGCTTTTCAGAACGATGAGCTTTGTAAAAATCGACGCGTTTCAGAAAGGCAGGGCATAGAGGAGCAACAATAATGTATACCATTTAATTTAATAATTTTGAACCATAAACCGCATAACCACATTGCATTACACCAAATACACAAAATAATGTTATTTTTAGCAACGTCATATGACCCCTTTAACTTGACCACATTTTGCTTACCCAAGAAAAGATGACAGGAGTCTAAATGGCTGGATTGCAGAACATGCTCTATTTACTGACAAACAGAACTATTCAGTGTATCAGACAAATGACTCATAAATGAGGGAAAATATACAGTAACAAAGAAAAATATTCTGAAGAACTGCTGAAAATACAATGTATTCAGTTCCAGCTTGTTTAAAATTTGCACTGACATTTCTGTACAATACAGATGTCACAGTGGCCATATAGCATGATGCGTATTCAAAAACTAATTCCTAAATGTAGCGATATGACCACAGCTGCAACAATTTATTGAAAATACTGAAATTAGTTCATATTTTGGATACTATATGTAGTTCAAATCAAGCAACAGTGTTTCATTTACCACAAATAAAGAGATTAGTGGTAAGAATCCAGTGGTTTCATCCCATTGCATCATTTAAAGATGCATGGTATTACTTCTAAGAGGAAGTTCCTGAGAGTATAATAACTTTTATATAAACATTCAATTATAACACACATATGTAATACGCCAAGTAAAACGTACCCAAAATATACAGAGTTGTGCTGTTTAAATATGCACACCACACACAGATTCTCTCAGTGCCAGAATAAATGTAATTATAATATTTTTTAGAAACTCTAATATCATAAATAAATATCCTTACAGCTTTAAATAATTTCAGTAAACAAAACATAGTACCACATACTTTTATCCCATTGAAATGATTTCAGTGAAATACATTGTTTTATGTTTTGATTTTGTCATTTTCTTATTATGAGGCTATCTGATTTGAGGTAGACACAAAAATGACTTTTAAAACGCCCAGCATCACTTGTGTCTTTAGCAAATGCACAAAAATACAAAATAACCTTCTCAAAAAATACAACAGAACTTTCTCAAATACTTAAGTTTGCCAAAGAGGATTAAAAAAATATTTAAAGTGTGCATGAAATGGCAATTGATCCGTTTTCTAAATGCATGTTATTGGTCTTACTGTGAATGATTTATCCATGTATAACTTTAATATATATATATA